TGATTCGTTCACAGCGAAAGAATAGTTTACGGCAAAGGATTAGTTCACAGCGAAAGATTAGTTCACAGAGAGTGATTCGTTTGCAGAGAGTAATTCGTTCTTAGTAAAAGATTAGTTTACAGTGATTTGTGAGGGATTCGTGAGTTTAATATGAACAAATATTTCATATGACTCGAGAGTCACGAATATTTCATATGACTCGAGAGTCACATATTTCATATGACTCGTCATATGACTCGGGAGTCACGAATCATATGAAAGATTCCTTTATTTTGAACGAATCACTCGCGAACGACACATCACTAGTGTGTTGTGTTCGCCAGCTCATGTGTGCCACAAAACACCTTTTGACATTTCACGGACTTCCTGAAAATAGTTCCATGTTGTCTGTGCACGTTCTCCTAATAACGAATATCAGGTTGTAAATGATGGCGGTTTAAAAATAAATGTCTACAATTTTCTCCCGTTTTGAATTCTTGGTTGTCAGTGAAGATATGGAGATTTTGATGAGAAACCATGACTCGTTCCGCCTATCCTATATCCCTCCGCTGTTTTTTGTCTGCTTTCAGACTGTTTTGGTGTTTTTGCTGTTAGCAACGGTAACAACCTGGGATAGCAGTAAAACCTATTTTGAGATAATTTAACTTTTCTTTTGAAAGTCGCAAAATTGACACGCCGTCTAGCGCTTATGTTTCTTTAGAAGGAGTGCTTTGCACGCGTTGTTTTAAAAAAAAAACATTTTTTGTTTAATACCAATTGTACAAATTGCTAAGTGAGCTAGTAGTCAGCTAGCTTGTTAGCACAGCCCTTACAATTTAGGAGGCACATTGACTTTAGCCTGTCAGCTAACCTGCGCTAACTTTAGCGAGCTGTCACACAGGCACACGCCGTCTGGTCGACAAGAAATTGCGGCTAGTCTTTTTAAGACGCCGTCTTTTATGGGATCACTATGTCAATGAAGGCCGGTGGAAATCGAAGCAAGACCGGCAGTGGCAACGCCTCTGGTGCCCATGCCTCTGGATCTGGGGGAAACAGCGGGGGAAGACCGAATCTGGGCAGGTCTGCCACCATATTTAACTTCAACGTAGTGGAATTAAATTCATCCAATGAGGGTTTTTGTAATGGTTGTTTAATATGCAGACATAGGCTATTCATTTGGTGGCGTATTTCAGAGATGACAGTCACGATAAACGGTCTAGAAGCTGTACGTGGTTGTGGATGTTAAAGCGGGCCTTACGACGTGCAGGTTTGGCTAGGCCTCTGTCTTCCAGCAATGTTGCAACTTATGATTATCGTTTACACCACTTGCACGTCATCCTGTCACTGATATTGTAACATGTGTGCAGCCTTGAATCCGTATGTCAGTGTTGATGGCGCTACGTTCACTGTAAGAGCTTAGAATTAATTTGACAGTCTAGGCTTGTTATGCAGTGCTTCATTGCAGGACACAGCCTGGACACCAGCCTAATGAAACAAACTGTGTGTGCTTCTGTTTGACTTGCGTGGAGCTCGTTGCGTTACCGCAACATTGCTGCAATGACATTGCCAAGATATTTGTTAGAGAAAAAAAACGTGTGGGCGCAAAGAACAAAGGGGCGGGTGTGAGGCCGGGGGTAAGGAGGAGGAGAAGGGGTATTGTAAAGCGACGTTGTCGTGGTTGTTTCTCTGGAATTGTGTCCTTGTAATATGACATTTCTTTACTTGTCCGTCTCGACACGAAGCTGAAAATCACACGTCTCTGCATGAGCTGCATGCATATTGTGGATTTTAGTGGGTTTAAATTTGGTCAGGTTTTCATACAATCGCCACTAGGACACCATGTCCATTTATTGCGTAGGTTTCTTCTATAAGGATCATACAAAGATGATCCACTGAAGAATGAACCACTGACTCATGCATCCAAATCGGTCAGTTTCATGCAGAAGTGCTTATTGGCGTTGTTAAATTTGTGCATTAAACACCGTGATTCTCCATTTGAAACGAATGTGATGTAGTAGAAGTGGGCTTTGCATACAGCGGTGAATGTCTCGCCCTGTACCAGCTACTGAACAAGGTGCATTTTAGGACTTAGGAAAAAATGTAGGCTACAGAGTATTTACCTGGCAGCAACTTGCACACCATTCTAACAACGATTTCGGCACATCAATGAAATGTTTCTGAATTGGAGTTTTATTAGAATGTGTGATACATTTTCACTATAATTTTGTTTGGAATTGGTGCAACTAGATGTTATAACAATGAACTGCAGCTAGATTCAAAACCAATGTACCTTTTTAAGAAATATATTTTATAATGCTATTCAGTGAATTTGTATCTGGTTCTTGATCTGCTGATACACCTGTCTCTCACTTAATTTTGACATGTCAAGTGCTGGAGGGCCTCATATTTTATTTTCAGAATGTAAACAGACATGTTACAGAATCTCCAACATGTCACGTGCCTCAAGCCTGATACCTATGTTGTGCTCCTAGATGTTCTGCTTCTTTAGAACTCCTTGTGTTAAATGTGTAACTACAGTTGTGTAGTGTTTTAGAAATGTATACCACAGTCTCAAGAGGTTTCTGGGAAGCACTTTGTTTCAGAATGCAAGCTGGGAATTAACTTCTAATGATTATGGCTGGTCTGACGATGCTGTTTTCCTTTTCAGGGGAAGACACAGCGGTAAAGGTCCTACAGCAGTAAGTAGACCACTAAATATTAACAAGAAAACACCCCTGTAGATACCCATGCACCTGTAGGTATCTATAGTTGTTTCTACCTCTTTGCTTAAGTTATTTGTGAAGAGCAACCATCAGTAACAGTAACCTGTATAGGAACACAATGTTTTATTCTGTTCATGTGGTGCAGTGTAGTGTAAACTAGCATATTGTTTTTGTGGCATGCCTGTTGAGAGACAACTCTACTGTTATTACATTTGTTTATTAATCAGAACAAAATAAATGCACAGTGGCTTTTAAACCAAATAACATTTTTTGCAAACAGTAAAACATTAAAAACTTAATATCTTAACTTTTGAAATATTTGTTTCTCTTCAGGTCTTTTTTAATGGGGTGTATGCAAATATGAGGATGGTCCATTTCTTGACTTCAGTAGTGGTATGTTTGCTAAATGTCCATTGTATTATGGTTTCAAAATTATGTTTCAAATGTATTGAGTAGCATCTGTTTTTTTTTTCATTTCCATTAAATTTGGTTTTCCTAATGGTCGTAAAAACCTTGGTGGAAACGTTTATCTGAATCATGCCTAATGTAAAAGTGGTGCTTTGGCCAAGAGGCAATGTCTCTGTCATTGGTGTGGAACCCCAGGGTTCACCTCCTGGGCAAGATCGAATCCCGGTTAGGGCGGTTCGTGCCTTCCAGTGGACTCACCACCTGCAGGTACGATGCAGTGTGATTTGGGTGGCGAATGCAGCAGAGTGGCGAATGCTGCCCCCGCGACCCGGTAAAGGATAAGCGGATGAAAATCGATCGATGGATGGATGGATGGATGCCTAATGTAAATCAGTTAGTAACAGCAGTTGTGCTGCAAGTCTGTCCTACAGCACATGCTGTTTCTTCAAAATGTCTGCTCGACAACAAACAAAGCATGTGTGATTTGTACTGGCATCTGTTTGCATAAATGAAATAGACATTAATCCGTCATTTGTCCTTTTTTTGCCGCTAATGTTTTTTTAACCTGTTCTTTTTCCAAGTCTAAACTGACATTGACATTTCATTGAATGATTGAGAGTTGCTTTTGTGTGAATAATGATAAAATACATTTATTTGTTTATTTATAGGGGACCAAGTGTGAGCTGAAAGTAAAAAATGGAGCAGTCTACGAAGGAGTCTTTAAAACTTACGGTCCAGAGGTAAGGATGACATTCGGTGCAATATTTTTAAAAGGCGTTCCATCAATCGCAACTTTACCCTTGATGTGGCTTGGACAGAAAACAAACCTCTCCATTTGGCATTTCTGGATTGCACACTCTGCTGCATTTCTGGTTTTTCTTAGGTCCGAATAAAGTATACATTTTTTGCCTCTTGGTGAAACCCTACTGTGGCTAGTAAAAAGATAAACCTGACAAGAGTGGAAGACATTATTTGGAACAAAATCACAGTTGTGTTAATTTATCATTTATTCACCACCATATTCTTTATGGTACAATAGTGCAGAAGAAAATGAATTTGGTCTGCCTGTGCAGACATACATACCAGTTTGTTCTGAGACCAATACCAAGTATCACATTTGGCTTCTATTATCACTGTTTGCGCAAGCTGAGCAGTCAGACATGCTGAAATATTCACCCAGTTGAGTTCACCCTCCCTTTTGTACACCCTTTCCTGGTAAGAAAAATATCTGGTTTCAGAGTTTGTATTTTGTTTCTCAGTTTTGCAGTGTATTGGAAGTCCTACTGTAACTTTATGTAGCTTTGTTGAGTAAAAAACATCCTTGTTTGATTATAATAAAACATTTAATTAAAAGTACACTGCACAATAGTAACAACATCAGTTCTACATGTTCTCTGCATCTTTAATATTCTCTGTACATACACTGGGCTTGGAGTATATTTCACATTCCTCTTTAATGTAAACAACTCTCTCTCCGTCAGTGTGACCTGGTATTGGATGCAGCCCACAGAAAGAGCGCAGAGCTCAGCATAGGCCCCAGGAAAGAGGACATTATGGAGAGCATCATTTTCAAGGCCTCAGATGTTGTGGTCGTGACCTTCAAAGATGTCGACCTGAGTTTTGCCAAGAAAGGTAAATAAATAAAAACATTTGTGTTGAGAATTTTAAACAACGTTAATAACTAAATTCCAAGTGTCTAGGCTGTATTTCATAAATGTACATCATTTTCCCTTTTTATTTGTATTTAATGTAATAAAGTTTAAACTTGAACAGCTGCTCATTGTTCAGTTATTTTAAAAGAAATTATTAATTACATTGGCCTGCAGGTTGTCCTTGCAGCCAATAGTAGTGATTTATTTTACAACGTGAGAAAGATGGCTATCTCCAGTGGTTGTAAATCAACTCTGCTGTTTAATGCTGTTTTAATAATATATTGATTTAAATTAAAACATACATAATAGCAGAAATCAGAGCCTGTTGGGACCCTGTTACAGTATAAATAGTATAAAGTAAATATCTCACTCGCATGCTGAATAAAGTGAACTGTTGGTGTGATCAGTCATTCTGCCAGTCCGTTTGTCTTTTGACTCTGTCATTTGTCTGTCTCCTCTCTCCAATGGACTAGTCTCCCCTGATGCAGGTAAAAACATTGTTTTTTTTCTCATTTCACTTGTGTCTGAAATAACAGTTTGGGATGTAACAATGTCAAAATGTGTGATTTAACAGTAACAAAAGTGTCTTCATATTGTGCTGAACATGCAACAACAACAAAAATTTAATAGGATGTCTGGGCCAAAACTGGTGGATTGTTTTAGCAACAGTAGATGAATGTGAAGGGAAGTTAGGACTACAAAGACTATTGTCCCGTGTGGACCCGTTGTGCCCTGCTCTATTCTTGTAAGAAAGTACCAATACGGTGGAGGCTGTTGTTGATTGTTGTGTGTACTCAGCAATACTCCACATGCTAAACAACAAACTAACGTAGGAACAGAAGGCAGTGGACAGTGAAGGAGGAAATCTGTCTGCTAGGTTTTAAAATATTTTACAGTTTAACTCATTTGTGATCTGTACAGTGATGTTTCTGTGCAGAGGAGAGTTAAATCTTCGAGAGAAGATGGAGATGACACTCAAGCACATATGCAGCAGACGGTCAACCTCTCATTTGGAAGATTTGACCATTAATTAGCAAACATTCTACTCTCACACTATAGTTAGCTCTCTCACTCAAAGAATTGTACTCACACAATGTTATTGTCAGGTGGGTAGAGTAGCAAAAAACTGTTCTCAAGTAAAAGTACTGTTACTTCAGAATAATATTACTCAAGTAGAAGTAAAAAGTAGTAATCCGAATAATTACTTGAGTAAAAAAGTACTTGGTGAAAAAACTACTCAAGTACTGAGTAACTGTTGAGTAACATCTGATTTATTTCTTAATGAGCATTCAATCAGATGGACAAAATTACAAAGAGGTGAGTTTATCCTATCAATAAAATAATAAAATAAAGCAAATTACTTAAATACAACAATTAAATTCAAGTACTTCAATAAAAATAAAAATCAGTGGAATATAGTACATAAAAATATTTACAAAATACCGTATTTTCCGGACTATAAGGCGCACTTAAAAGCCTTTATTTTTCTCAAAAATCGACAGTGCACCTTATGTATTAATTCTGGTTGCACTTACTGAGCTCGAACCGATTTTATAAAGCCAAACCATACAACGCAGCACAAATGATGGCACACAACTGAAGCACACTGGGAGCCAACAATGACGTTTAACAGTTAAACTATAACTCTGTTATCACAATTAGAAGATGCTCAACAACAATTGTTACAGTATGGTTGTGTAACCCAAATCCGTGCAACGTCGCGTCGTGCCTACCAACACCCGGAGACTCTGCGTAGTGTTTTTCAATTGTCGATGTATGGTGCGATGCAGAAGGACGACTCAGACCAATGGCTGTCGATTTTTTTTTTCGTGGTCAAGACCATTTTTTATTTCTCCTTTTTTATCGATGCATGCAAAACACACTACCTCTGCAAATCAACATCCAAACAAGCAAAACAAACGGGGACCATCCAGAACAAAAATAGTGACACCAACACCCGGAGACTCTGCGTAGTGTTTTTCAATTGTCGATGTATGGTGCGATGCAGAAGGACGACTCAGACCAATGGCTGTCGATTTTTTTTTTCGTGGTCAAGACCATTTTTTATTTCTCCTTTTTTATCGATGCATGCAAAACACACTACCTCTGCAAATCAACATCCAAACAAGCAAAACAAACGGGGACCATCCAGAACAAAAATAGTGACAACCGCCCTCCGTCCCTACTGATCTGCGAGTCCATGTGCGCCCATGTCAAAACCCAAGTGAAGCAAACTAATTCGGAGCTTGCCGTCATTCAGGATGAATTGACCAAAGAATTCGAACCGCTAAATATTGGCGTTAACAGGGTGTTTAAGGTTAAGTTGCGAGCTGCGGGAGCATTAAATGACAGAAGGCGAACACACATTCACCAAGACAGGGATGCAACGCCGGATGAATTACGCCACTATCTGCCAATGGATTGTGGATGCCAAGTCTCAAATGTTGTCCAAGCTTTCACGAAGGCCGGAATCATCACTGAACAGCTAATTAACAGCAACCAGACTGACTCGGATAATAACGAGGGGGAGCCGGACAAGCTTGATTGTTCCACTTAATTGTTTCGCTGAATATTTTGTTTTTCGCTTAATATGGCTTATAACTCGGTGCACCTTATAGTCCGAACAATGCGGTAAATGCTCGACTCTCAATTGCTGTTGTTGGACATGTGCGTTTGTGTGTCGCAATAATTGCACCTAAATATGTGTCGTCCAATTTGTGTGCATCTCAGATAACTTCACAGATGCAGCAGTGGGTGGATGGATCAATGGTGAGCACAAAGAGAAAGATCTGAAGCCATGGGACGGAGGAGAGACCCACAACTCAGACAGCCTAGAGTCTCTCGACACAGATGTGGTAACGAAGACACAAACACTAAAAAGATGCTTCACTTATGAGCAACAGAGGGCAGTAATGCATCACTGAATAATGCAGTTAAATATTGTAATTTTGGCAGTCTAATGACTGTGTGTGAGGTACTGAAATTGTAGTACTAGATTCCTGGACCAAAGTTTTGTTCAGGTAAAGTCTGCAGGAATATATATTTTTTTGGTTGGAGACAAGAACTTAAGCTGTTTATCATTAGGTACTAAAAATTGTAAACACACAAACAAACTGTAAACATGTGTCTCTTTTTTTCTGTCAGTCAAATGGGTGGGACCCCAACGACATGTTCAAGTACAATGAGGAGAAGTACGGAGTATTGTCTACATATGACAGCAGCCTGGCCACATATACGTAAGTTTCCCTTTGAATGTGAGTCTCTCTCTGTACTGCTGTGAAATATGTATTTAAAATCAAGTGCTATTTTAAAAAGGGGTCCAACATTATCACAATGATAACATGTTGATGCAAATTAATTTTAACGCCATTTTTTTCCCCGGAGCCATTTGAACTGCAAAGTATAAATAACTAAACTCACTATAGGACATTGTCCCTTAAGTAATAAATTAATTTTTAAACTGTGGCATTATGAACTGAATTACTAATGCAGTTAGTTGATACCAGGAAAGTATTCCCACAGAAAGAAGTGTTCTTTTATTGCACATTTTAAATAAATTTAATTTAGGTTTCAATTAATTTGAAATTTCTGAGTTCACTATACACAATCATGGAATTAATGACGATTACCGCATTTTCCGAACTATAAGGCGCACCTAAAATCCTTTAATTTTCACAAAAATCAACAGTGCGCCTTATAACCCGGTGCGCCTTATGTATTAATTCTGGTTGTGCTTGCTGACCTCGAACCGATTTTATAAAGCCAAACCATACAGCGCATCACACATGATGGCACACAACTGAAGCAGACTGGGAGCCAACAATGATGTTTAACTCTGTTATCACAATTAGAAGATGCTCAACAACAACTGTTACAGTATAGTTGTGTAACCAAAATCCGTGCAACGTCGCGTCGTGCCTCCCAACACCCGGAGACTCTGCGTTGTGTTTTTGTATTATTGATGTATAGTGCAATGCAGGACGACTCAGACGCATGGCTGTTGATTTTTTCGTTGTCAAAAACTCTTTTTATTTTTCCTTTTTATCGATGCAGGCAAACACACACACTCTCTACAAAAGAACAGCCGCACTTCCGCACGGAACAGCGTCAAAACAACAATACGGTGACCATCCAGAACAAAAATAGTGACAACTGCCTGACTCTGGAAGGGCGAACAACAACAACAGCGCCCTCCTGTGTCCAACTTAGGTCACTACCCTTTTCCACAAATCTCCATCCCTATTGATCTGCGACTCCATGTGCGCCCATCTCACCGATATTGTCAAAACCCAAGTGAACCAAACTAATTCGGGGCTTGCCGTCATTCCGGGTGGATTGACCAAAGAATAACAACCGCTAAATATTGGTGTTAACAGGGCGTTTAAAGTTAAATTGCGAGCTGTGTGGGAGCTTTGGATGACAGAAGGTGAACACACATTCACCAAGACCAGGATGCAACACCAGGCGAATTACGCCACTGCCAATGGATCGTGGATGCCAGGGCTAAGGTATCAGTCTGAAATGTTGTCCGAGCTTTCACAAAGGCCGGAATCATCACTGAACAACTAATGAACACCAATGAGACTGACTCGGATAATGACGAGAGGGAGCCGGACATGCTTGATTGTTCCACTTAATTGTTTCGCTGACTGTTTTGTTTCGCTAAATGCGCCTTATAACCCGGTGCGCCTTATGTATGAAAATAGACCCGTTCATTGATATTGCACCCTATAATCCAGTGCGCCTTATGGTCTGAAAAATACAGTATATATTTTAACCCACTGACAGAGTTAGAAATATAAACCAGCCACTAGGGTAAACAAGCCAGTGTTCCGGTCCCAAGCCCGGATAAATCGTGAGGGTTATGTCAGGAAGGGCATCCGGTGTAAAACATTTGGCCAAATCAAATATGCGTATCACAAAAGCGATTTACATACATGATCGGTCGGGGCCCGGGTTAACACCGACCGCCAACAGTGGGACCTACAGGGTACTGGTGGAAATTGGACTACTGTTGATCGAAGACAGAGAAGAAGAGGAGGGTGTTTGGTTAGGAGAAAAAGAGAAAAAGAGAAAGGATAGAAGTGTTAGTCTGAAGTTTGGAACTCTGAATGTAGGTACAGTTACAGGAAAAAGAAGGGAGAACTAGCTGTTATGATGGAGAGAAGAAGAGTAGACATTTTGTTCGTGCAGGAGACCAGGTGGAAGGGCAGCAAGGCTAGAAACATTGGAGGAGGCTACAAACTGTTTTATCATGGTTCGGATGGGAAGAGAAATGGAGTTGGGGTGATCCTAAAGGAAGAATATGCAAGAAATGTGGTGGAGGTGAAATGAGAGTCAGACAGGTTGATGTGTGTGAAGGTAGAAATGGAAGGAGTGATGATGAATGTTGTCAGTGATTATGCCCCACAGGTGGGCTGTGAGTTGGAAGAAAAGGAGAAGTTCTGGAATGAGATGGATTGGATGATAGAGAATATCCCCAAAGGAGAGAGAGTGGTGATTGGAGCAGACCTAAATGGTTATGTAGGGGAAGGGAACAGAGGAGATGAGGAAGTGATAGGTAGGTTTGGTGTTAGGGATAGAAGCTTGGAAGAACGGGCAGTGGTAGATCTCGCAAAGAGAATGGAAATGGCTGTGGTAAACACCTATTTCCAAAAGAAGGAGAGGAACACACGGTGACGTAGAAGAGTGGAGGCAAGTCCACGCAGATAGATTATATTCTATGTCTCACAAAGAGAGAGGAGGGAGATTAGAAACTGTAAGGTGGTGGCAGGCGAGAGTGTAGCCAAACAACATCGGATGGTAGTGTGCAATATGACGATGGAGGTGACAAAATGGAAGAGAGTGAAGACAGAGCAGAAGATCAAGTGGTGGAAATTAAGGAAAGAGAAATGTTGAGAAGACTTCAGGAAGGAAGTAAGGGCAGTTCTGGGCCGTGTTCCTAGATGATTGGGAGACTACAGCTACAGTGATTAGGGAGACAGGTAGGAAGGTGCTAGGTATGTCCTCTGGGTAGAGAAAGGAAGACAAAGAGACTTGGTAGTGGAATGATGAGGTCCAGGAGAATGTGCAGAGAAAAAAGAGATTAGCAAAGAAGAGATGGGATAGTGAGAAAACAGAAGAGAACAGACTGGAGTACAAAGAGAGGCCAAGGGAGGTGAAGAGGGAAGTGGCCAAGGCCAAACAAAAGGCAAGGAGTTGTATGAGACTTTGGACACAAAGGAAGGAGAAAAGGAGTTGTATAGATTGGTGAGACAGAGAAATCGAGCTGGGAAGGATGTGCAGCAGGTGAGGTTGATTAAGATCACAAGTGAGGAAAGTGTGCTGAGAAGATGGAAGGAATACTTTGAGGAGTTGTTGAATGAGGAAAATGAAAGGGAAAGTAGAAATGAGGAACCAGAAACTATTAGGAAGAAGGTAGATCAG